AGTTGCTTTCCTTGAGCTAAAAGTAAATGGATATCATCTTGCAGTGAGCTAAACTTAACAAATGTACTGTGTTACATAAGTGAAGCCTGCGTAGCGAATTGAGATGCAAAGTGGACACACCTGACGTGGTAACTCAGGTGCACTAGCTGCATTTTTTTCCAATTTATGGAAATATGGTTACAATCTATAAGAAATTGCATTACGTAATCTTCCTATGATATGATTATGTGTTTTTAGATTCGTGGAGTAATAGAAAAAATGATCAGAGCATGATAACACGCGATCAGATATTTAATCAAATTGGGTTTATTATTTGTTCATGGTCAATTGCGGAATGTTGTTTAGGCTTATGGGCAGATCTGTAGTTGTGTACAGCATAGGGTGTCAATCCTATATTTCAAGACTATACTTGCACTTATTATTAATGCATGGCTGAATATGCTCAGTATACAGGATGTTTCTCGATTTTTGGATTAATTTCAAGAAGAAAACTTTATATGAACTTGTATCCTAAGCGTGTCCACTTTTGAGATAGTATATACCTATATAGTATACAGGGTGTTCCTTAATGATATGCGAATATTTAAGGGTGTGAATCAACATGAAAAATTAATGCTTTATAAACTATGGTCCAAAAATGTTTCCTTACAAAAACTCGGGTTGTTGAAGCTTTAGGAAAAAAATGGAAATTAATTAATATTTTCAGAACCGCTTCAGATATTTCAGTGATATTTAGTACATAGTGAAAGTTAATAAAGTTGCATATTTTTCAATGCAAAAGTAATTTTTAGCTTTAACAGTGGCGTGCGTACGGGTATTGACTTCGATATTTTTTAAGAAAAAAGTAGTACGCCAATGGTTTTTTACCAAATAAAAATTATCTTTGAATTTCCCGTTCAATTTAAAACAAAAATATCGAAGTCAATACCTGTATGCACGCCACTGTTAAAACTAAAAATTATTTTTGTATTGAAAAATATGCAACTGTATTAACTTTCACTACGTGCTAAATATCAGTGAAATATCTGAAGGTGTTCTGAAAATAATAATTAATTTCCATTTATTTCCTAAAATTTTCACACCCCGAGTTTTTGTGAGGAAATACTTTTGGACTATAGTTGCAAACTAACATTAACTTTTCATGTAGATACACACCCTTAAATATTCGCATATCATTGAGGAACACCCTGTATATAAAGTTTTAGAAAGTAAATGATTTATTATTAATGCCTGTAATACCACTTTACATGTTCTAATGAAATTTGGAATACATGTACATGTATTTTTGAACGTAACATTTTTATGAATTTCCAGACACTGATGATACTCTCAAGATAAATTTTTTTCTTGAAATGAATCATTTATAAGCAAATCTTTTCATTCCAAGGCACGGTTTTTGCTTCAAAAAAGAGAAAAAAGCGTTTATTTCGTAGGTGGGAACCAGATGACGGAATATAACAATCAAGAGGTCAAAAATAAATGAATACAGATATTTTAATTTAAGAGACGTCAGTGGCGTGTCTATTTGGTAGGCACTCCTAATGAGAGTAGTCGAAGTCCTCAGGCAGATTGGAGATATTGTCTGGTGGAATTAACCACAGGAAGCTCTGTCGCAATTTCGCAGGTTATTTTCATAGGACTTTAAACACTATATATTATTTCTGGAAATCACTGGAAGCTTCTGAAACGTCAAAAAGCTCTACTGCCACTAGACAAATTTTCAAAAACTATAAAACTTTTTCGTCCTTGGCACACTAGTAACCTTCAAAACAGTATTAATTATAGACAGTGTCTTTACTTATACAAAGTAGTTGAATGATCTGGTATTGTTATAGTTATGAGACCCAGTGAATATTTTAAAACCTTATATCTTCGAGCAAAGAATAAAGTACCTACGTTGTGTCCGGTACGACTTATTACACTACCAGCTTCAGCACACTTTCCTGAAACCATTAAATTTTACAACCGTTAGCCCTTTGTGCAAACAATCGAGTGTTGACACAAACTATCCGTAACCTGGTACTGGCAGTACCCACATCTTCCTGTGAACAATAGGTACACTGTGAATGCGTAACATTTCGCAAAAGGTTTACTTTTACTTTCTTCTCTTGCAGGTAGGAATAAGGGCGCTTGTCACCGTATAGGGATAGATTGTTTATGAGAAGGACCAGAGCAATGTAAAAGTACGGGTGATGTGAATTGTATTTATCTTCCGTCATCACTTTTATTAGCCATATGTTTCTGAAAATAAGTTACACATACGAATATTGGTGTTGAATTGTATCACTTTTTACTCAAGCCATTGTAATTAACTCCGCAAAGCTTGGCAAACAGCTTGAGCGGCACGGGTATCACGTTTCTTGAAAAGTGACATTATGCCGATTTTTTTTGACATTATGCTATTTTTTTTTACGAGATGTTAACTTAGCACTTAGCTGTACGTGTTGTCTAAACGTCATGAGGCTTGTTATCAATCTTTGGCTCTGATGTGATGTAAAATCTGCTTCTGAGATGGCATTACTGGAGGTCTAAGTTGTAAGTTGTATGTGTTGATGATAATTACATTGAGTTCTTGTCTCAAATACACTTAATCGATATTCAAAGCTAGAAATTAGTTGCCCAACCACTTTTTCTTATCCATTCTGGAAATTGCATATACAAATTTGCTGAATTTCAAAAATGAGGGAGATAAGAAATAATTATATTCACTGTACACTGTCAAATTACAAGCCATATACATGCTAACAGTAATTACACACGGCCGTGGCGATAATTTCCCGTAATTCTCCTCAGTTTTTCGTAATTTATAACTTTGAACATAACCTCTCTTCAGAAAGCACAACATATAAATAACCCGTCATATTCAGCATATTCTGTAATCACCGATTCTATACACATAATCATCCAGATGCGATCTTGTTATTCAACCAACTTTCTTCTCAGAGATAAAAACTACAGATACCGATCATTCAGCCTCACAAAACTATGCAACCAGTAATGCGTGTATAGTTTAGTTGAGTGATTCCTTCATAGATGTAGGTTCACAACGATCCTAGTGAGCACACGTGGAATGACTGTTTGCGCCCTAAAAACTACCTAGTCTGCAAGTTGACATCTTATAGGTTTTTTTGACGTTTTATAGGTTTTTTACATGATACCCGTCAGACGTATTTGACGTATCACTAGGTTCTTCGATGACAGACTTGTCTGAATCCGGTCCTGTATGCAAGAAGATTCTCTCAGGAAGATTGCTATGCAGAGTCGGTAAGTCCATAGGCCAAAAGCAATTGGGGTTCAGTAATAAAAAGTAATAGACTTCAGTTACTGCTTGGTAGCAGTTCGCCAACGGCGTCATCCTGAATAACTTTATGAGCGATAAAAGGATTGTATTGTTATTTTTTCTTTTACTGCAATGATTATTACGGAATACAGATATGGTTATTGATATCCATAGTAGTAAGTTACGTAATGAGATTTTGAGGGTTGTATAATCAACTATTTTATTTATCTGTCGATTTATGTGCCGCCGTTGCTTGTCAGTATGACCATGTCTAAAATTTTGGTCATTGATATTCTGCTATCATTTGACTCTTGGCTTGTAGAAAGTCTACAGTGGCAATCGAAACACAAGTGAAGAGTCTCGAGCATCGTCAGTTTTTGAAAATTATTACTGGCGTCTACTCGTACGTGCCTGTTGATATCTCATTCGGTTCAGTCATAGTACGACTATAAATATGTTGTGTTTTCTAAGATTTACCAAAGTTTAGCACGTTTTGCTGTTAAGCTGTTGTTACAGCTTTTAAAACAGTCACCAAAAGACAAGATAATAGTCTAGGACGCAACTTGAGTGGTCCCTGAACTCATTTAGCACATTAAAAAAATAAATATTCTTCACTCAGGAACCTGTATCCCCATTGCAAGTATTTAAATTATGACACTAAAACACTTTATGTAAAAGTCTTGTACTGCCACAGTTCTCATACCTGTCACCTATATACCATAGCAGTTTGGATGTAGAAAGTCGCAGAAAAATTCAAATTGTTCAAAGTTCTTGTTTTTTCTTTTGTTAGGTTTATTCATGGCATGGCAGAGGAAAATATGATCTCGTTTCGGAAAAAAAATTAAAATATAAATGGATCAATACGAAAAACAGATTCAAAATCTATGCGATTGCCTTATGACAAAATTATTACACAGAAGAGACCTACCTACCGGTATAAAAAAATTAAATTTCGATATCAGTTGACAATATTAATATTAGATCCAAGAGGATTCAGCTACTGAATAGCTAAGGAATATAACAACATGCCTCAGGAGTATGTGGGTCTGCCGTTCAAGAAGACAATTAAATCTTATATTTTTAAAAACAGTAATAATGGAATTTTATGATTAATAGATTTAATTTTCATCCCATAGTTGATTCAGTGAAGCATTCAACTCATACGTTCTATTTTTATTATTTTATTTGTACCATTTTTTTTCCTTTTTGTATCTTTGTAATGTTGAGTGGAAGAGAACTCCGAATCTAGGTTAACCCGTATGCGGTTATTAGTTTTCTATGGTTACTGTACTAATTCCTTATTAAAAACGCCGCCTTCTTTAAGACTTATGTAAGTTAACAAAGCAACAATTGAGAGATTACCATTGGGTAACATTACCTTTATCTTTTATTACGGCTTAAATTCTTTGGGGCATAGTGTTAACCAAGTTTTGGCAAAAATTTGGTGTAAAACAATCCCATATTTCTTGAAGCTTTTGTATCAGTTCGGTGATTGTACGAGCAGGATGTTGTCGTAGAACCTTTTTCATCTCGTGCCACAAAGTTTCAATAGGTGACAGATCTGGACTGCTAGAAACCCATTTCAAAAGTGGTACATTATTTTCTTCCATCCATTTTGTCGCCTCTTTTGAGGCATGGCACGCTGCACCATCTTGCTGAAACACAAAACCTTGGCCGGATGCCAAACATTCTTCTATCACTGGTAAAAGCGATTCTTATAAAATTGCCAAATATTTGTTTGTATCCACATTTCCATCAATAAAATGAAGTTTTCCTACTCTTTTTGATGACATACTGCCCCAGACCGGGGCAGTATGTCATAATGGATGCTGGAAATTTCACTTTTCTCTTCAGACAGTCAACATGGAATGCTTCATTTTTTTGCGAATAACTCTACTGCGACTGTCACCAAACTTCGAATCGGGCCTCATCACTCCATTGTATTGCACACCATTGTTGAGGTGTCCATTGTCTATGTTCTTTAGCCCATCTAAGCCGATTTTTCTTTTGCAGTGGAGTTAATAGTGGCTTTTCTTTGGCCTATAAACAAGTTGTGCAACTTTAGGGTTTTTACTTCACTTTTTTTTATAAGAAAACTTACCTTGCAAGTGCTAAATCCCAGTTTGTGGGCCTCTCTATGAGTTGTGGACCTAGAAATTCTCGTTCCAACAGCATCACTCCACAGAGTTCTTAATTGTAAATAATTGGCACGCCTGCTTTTCACGATTATTCTTCTTAATGCTCTTCGGTCAGCATTTGTGATAATACTTTTTTTCACATATCGTGGCTTAATATTAACTGAACCAGTTACGTTATATCTTATAACAATATTTCTCACACTGTACCGCGTGAAGTCTAACAAAGTTGCAATTTTTGAGTTTGATAATAATCAGTAACCGAATTTTCTCACTAATAACCTTTCCTCTACCCATTTTGAAAACCTTAACTACCCAAAACTATTTTAAACGTATTCTGACAGCTGTGATTAATAAAAACAATTGTCATGGCTTTTATTTTTCACAGCCACCTATGCGTTATAGACTTATTTTGCATTGAAATGAAAATAGGTTGATATGCTGTAATTGCAACATGTGTTATTTTTATGCTGCAAATTTGATTACGGAGTGATAAAGTTGGTGTTTTCTACTACATATTATCAAAATATTCATTGTTAATATTTTAAACCTATAACACCCTGCTACATTTTTAGTATTTGTGTTTGATAAGAAAAAAACTAAGGTCAATAGTTGGGTCAACTGAAGAGGGAAGGGGCTCGTATATGACAATATAAATAAATCACAACAATGAGACATCAAACATCAAAAATTAGGTAAAAAATACCTGAGTATTCTGATCGATGTTTTTTCGATTACAAAAATGGTAGGTATAAAATGAGAGTCATTTTTATCCTGTTTTTTTTAGTATTTCTATTAATATTCTAAAACGTTTCAGCTGGAGAAGCAAAATAACCATTAATGTTTTAATCTATTTTTGCGTAATTTGTTCGTTCAAATATGCTTGGATTGCTGCTGACCTATAATCAGGTCCCACCTTAAAACACATAAATGCTGATTTGCGTACATTCAGAGCATTCCTCGGAGATTCTTTTTAATTGCTTACCGGCTTCTGAACATCAACAAGCACATACAAATACCTCCTTTATCTGATTCCTACTTGTTTTCCTCCCATTTGCCTGGCCATTTTTCGTTTTATAATAATGCTTGCAAGTCCGGCTGACTTCAGGCAAAGCATACAGACTACAATAAGTTAGGTCACTAGCGGAACATCTTTTGCATTTTTTTTGCAACTTGTCACACAATCATACGATGCACATCATAAACGTGATCACGTGCATTTAGCTTCAATTTGTTTCAAGCTTGGTTCATATGTGACCACTAATAACTGAAATGTATTGTTTGCACAGCAAAGTCACATGTTTCCGATGATTTTTTAGGGCCGTACCGTCAGTCGTTCCTACAATTGTAGACCTCCTTGATTTTCATAGTCTATTCTCTCCTCCAGAAGGGCTGGGGTATTTCTAGATGTCTCCTTTTCCGTGTCAGCGTCAGCGCTCTCTTATTGAGAGATTAAGGCCCAATTTCACCAACAACAGTCCGTTATTCTCTACCTATAGGGTAACAGGCCGTCAGATACAGCGAATGAGCTTCAAGTTCCAATCAACAAATTTTAGCAACCAATAGCTATGAAATGTGGAAAACAAAATACTGTCAAAGTATGAGATGACAACTTGTCATTGAAACATTAGGTACCAGCTTATTGAATATTAAGAAATTACATATAATTCAGTAAAAATTTTAAATATTTGATTTTTGAATTAAGTTCATGTTTTAATTACTATTGTTGATTTTTTATTCATGTTTATATTATTTTCTTCAATTGATATGTGATACTGGGTGTTTTTTCTTATAAACCTCTTGCAGATAGCCATTAAGCACCTACTTGATGACAGGCTCTACCAAAAGATATTGCTCGTTTCCAAACATTCATTCATTTACTTGCCGTTCATCAGAACCATTATGGCACCTTAGATTGATATTCCCACAAAACCATTCAGGTTTTTTGATATCCATACATCCATAAAGTTGAATATTTTTCCTTGTTCAGGAACTGAACAAACATCCACACTATATTCACAGCGATTAAGAAATTCCCAAATATATGCCTTAAAGCTACCAGCAAGCCTATAAAACCTGCAAAAAAAACTACAAATTTGCCAAATTTTTCTTTTTTCACGAGTACACATTCTAGATTATATTTATATTAGACATTATTTGAATACAGCTGATTATTGCATTTCAAGAAGTGACACATGTGTTTGATCTGTCAACTCTTGGTACCAGTCACAAAACATACTCTGAAGGTTTAATTCCATGCTATTCAATCACAACACGGTGACTTGTGTGGTTGTCAGCGGCCATTTTGTGAGGGTGCGACAGGGTTGTCAGTGGAGCAAGTTCCGCCAACTGTTGAAATATACTCTACTATGCTTTATAAGACTGTTCGTGACATTTTTCCCAAAATCATTGCACAACACTTGAAAAAATGCAAATGAAAATTTAAAATTATTTCCATGACGCCGCAAAATAGCTCCGTCGGTACTTTGGGTTATACATCTTGACAGTAGGGATGTTCGGTAAGATCCTATATTTAGAAGTATCAATACATTTCACGAGTATCGTCATCCTTCGATCCGGACTGTGTCAGAAAGAGTGACTGCCATTTGGCTGCGACATTACCCTGCCAAATCACACATATCTTTCATCATTTTCAAAGAAATGTATGTTAAATTTGTATTGATAGGGCAGCGGGTTATGCTATAAATCATATGACACAGTGTTTGTGCACTGATTGCAACGGTTAGATGATACCAAAAATATTTTCATAAATAGGAGGTCTTTCCCATTCCGGATCGAACAATCTACCAAAGATGCTTATAATCATAATACCTAGTAAATTTTTACGAAAAAAATGCAAAACCAGCAAATGTAGAAGATTCATTTCGCACCCTACACCACGGGACGTGTTCGTCGTTAGACTTGACAACCCTCGAGTGACAGATAGATATCCCCGCCAGTCAACGACTGCCAGTCAAAAACACAAACAATAAACATTACTGGTTTTGATGATTTTTGGACTTAAAAGGACATTATTTGTGAAACATTTTTCATAATTTTTTGTCTATGTCCATAGTAATTGCATTATGCATCAGGGAGATGTAGGGATTGACACGTCTTAACGTACACATATTATCTGTGTTTTAGGATGGAGAGGACATAATGTTTTTATTGCGTTGAAGAAATTCATTAACCCATAAATTAATAAATGATTACTATTATGACGTAAAGGAATATGAGGAATTGGATGGAATGTATTTTATATTCTATTTTCTTGCAAAATACAGACACATACACACTATCCAACAGGTATGTAATGATAACCTTCAGTATATTGAAGTCGGTAAATTCGAGAGTGCCATGCATTAACAAACGTCCAAATCTGCTGCCACATTTAACAGCTAGAAAATCGACCTATTATTTGCCGCATTCCCATTCGCTGAGGGGGATAACGGATTGTTAAATGTAAACCTATAACATATATCAAAACACATGAAAGTTGTCCTGTTTTTTCTGTACAAAAGCATCATGTTGGAATCAAAAAGTGGTCTTGTTTATAATACAGTCGAATTTTCACGAGTTTATTCAATATTTCAATAGAAATCACTGATATTCAGATACCTTTGACAGCTTCTGTCAAATTGCATTTCGATAAGGTATTTTCCCATTGGTCCATAATATTAATGTTGGTGAAATCGGCCCTAAGTTTTCTTTTCGAACCGCAAGAAATTCCAGGCTGATAAAAATTCAGTCTGAAATTTCTTGGAATTCAAAATGAAAACATAACCTCAAAATAGAGCGCAGACCCCGAACAGTAAAAATCTAGAAATACACTTGCCTTTCTGAATGACAAGAAAAACTATGAAAATCAAGGAGGCTATAAAGGCATCCTACAGTTGTATGAACGACTATTCGGCCCTTAATGACAGAAAGCTTCGGCAAAGAGGTCGCTTGCGCTCACGCTGAGGTGTCCCCCATGTTTTATTGCTTTTTGTACCGGTCAGAGCTGGACATACAAAGAAACTGTCTCAAATCTCGTTTACGACCTTCTCTGTCAATATTAAAGTTCACGCGCTCCAGCGAACCGCGAATGCCTGGGCAGGGAGCGACAAGCAAATAGGAGCGACGATGGAGTGCTCAAATTTGTTTTGGCGTTCAGTAAATGAGGTTTGAATAGACTTTAGTTTTATTGCCGAGTGACCCTGCTATTCGGATTATGTATACTTTCCTCAGCGATGCTTTGAGGCACGTCCTAGTATTTGCATTTCAGAGTGCAGTTATTCAAACAAAACCAACCGTGTTTATACAGAACGTTTCAGGAATTTTAAATATTACTCCGTATTGACGTTTTGCTTGTATACGAGTACATAATATCCATGCACCATGAACAATGCAGGATGTATCGCGAAAGCTAATTTTTGCTTGACATTTTGAACAGTTGTACAAAAAAATGGAGAAGTGGAGTCTAGTCACTTTCCTAGCTAGGTATGTTTAAATTGCATTAATATTATATA